ACAAGGATGGATTGACCTTGAGAAAGTCCAACACACTCAAGGCTCCCAAAAGCAGTCCCAATGGCTACAGGAAGGCTTGCAGCTTCAGAGAAACTCAGATTAGGAGGCTTGTGAGCCAATAATCTCTCTTCTGAAACTGTGTATTGAGCCAATGATCCAAGCTGCTTCAAGTGTTTCACATCTTCAATGATATTACCATATACTTTATCACCTTCTTTGAACTTCTTCACTTCACTTCCCACCCTCACCACCACCCCAGCAACATCAAAGCCTGGGTGTTCTTCTCACCAGAAAGCACAAAAGAAATCAGTTGGTGCAGATCAAAAGTAGAATATTTGCAAATTAATTAAGAGGGGTGAAAAATCATTACTGGTTTCTAATGTTATCTTCTGATTAAAATCAATCTATCATAATCACCTTTGATTTCTTTCTTATACTTCCTCCGAATTACAATATAGGTCATTATTAAGTAATTTTTATTTCTAAAAAAATTGGCTAAAATTTTAGATTTTTTAAAAATTTTCACATCTTTCCAATCACATCATTGAGTGTAATAAATATAGGGAGAATGACAAATAAATCTTTCAAAATAGGAAAATGACAAGGTGATCTTGCAAAATGTGATAATATCTTTTAAGTTTCGGAGAACCTAATTGTACTTAAATTTTGGATGAAATGATAAAAATACCCTTTAATTTTTTTTTAAAGACAATGTTCATATACATGCAAATTAAATTTTTGACCTAATTTTCCTATTATTATATATGCATGCAAATTAAGACAATGTTCATGTCAAAATAGAAAAGTAAACTACAAACCAAAAAAATAAATCTAATAAAAGCAGCTAATCTCTTAAAATATGATAAACTAATATTTGAATCCCAACAAAAGGAGACACCCATATTCAATATTCAACTGTATTTCGGATTGGCTTGCCTCTCATAGGAGATCAGCTGTGTGCATATTAGAAGAAAAAGGAGAGTATGAATAAAAGAATATTACCGGAAAAGTAGAGTCGTCGTTCTTGAAAGAACCTGTCATCCTCCAACAATCAACGGGGTTAATAGCAGCAGCAGCAACCTTGATGAGAACTTGATCATGCTTCAGTTGAGGCACTTCAACACTTTGATCAATCTTCAACACTTGTTCTGGCTTTCCATATTCACAGTACACCCAAGCTTTCATGTGACACGGTACAGAGCTTCCCCTTGCTGAATCCGCCATTATCTTCTCAGTGAGATCACACAGATCAGAAACCCCCCACTCAGAAATTTATATACCACATTTTGGTTTTATACAAATATTTACAAATTATCTTATTAATTAAACCATCATTTGTTGCGTTAGATGAGTTTCTTTATGGCCACTTGCTTTCGTTCGTCACGCCTAATTAATAAGCGCCATTAGTGTACGAGGAATATGTAATATTATTTTTTAGAGGTAAATTTAATCTAAAAAATATAAAATATTTCATTTTTCAGAAGTAAAAAACCAAACAGGATTAAACGGCTAGCCTAAATTTAATCTACTTTATTGAGTTCATTGGTCATGCCTGATTAATAAGCGCCATTAGTGTACGAGGAAACCAGTATTTATTTATAGATAAACTGTCGTGGCCCGAGAGTCGTCGCCAGCAACAATTTGTCATTTCTTTGACTCGTCGTGGCTAGATAAGTTTGTTTATTTTAGGTACTTCTCATGTTATTTATATTTTGGGGTTCACATTAATCCGCGCACAAAACATTGTTTTGACATTTGAGCCACTATTTATATATTGGACAAGCTTAATTCACATGGACTTGGCCCATATCAAAACTCCCGTTTTTTTAAAATTGATTACTTATTCAAACTTAACTCTTATTCATCTGGTTACATTTTCTTTTTTTGTCTAAAATAAATTGTAATATTTAAAAATTTTAAAATAAATAATGTAAATCATACTCTCTGTATTAAAAAATATAAAATATTTTTAGTGTTTTAATGTGCAATCATTGTGTTTTTTTCCAAAAAGTACCCCTGCGAATAAATCACTTTATATTTATTTTAGAATGAAACATTCTATTAAATAAAAATAAATATGAAAAAAGTGTCTTTAAACAAGTAATTACTTTATTAAATAATAAAATTTAGTTAAAAATGTCAAACATTTTTAAATAGAGGGAGTAATTCTAAAGCACAAAATAGTCTAAAATCTAAATTTAATATAAAAATTTAAAATATTTATTTTTTAGAGGTTAAAAATGGAATAAGATTAAACACATAGCTCTAAAAACTTAAGTTTAATTTTATGGTTAAAATGGTTCAGGCTTAAAAGCCCTTTCATATAAAAATACTTCAATCTTTAAAGCAAAGCTCTGAAGAGCAAGTTTTAATCGGAGTAGATTGATAGGCCCAACTAATATTTGGACTCTTTCACATGATAGATTTTATTATTTGTATGGGATATCAAACAAGCCCCATCTAAATCAACTTGTGTATGATGGGGGGCTCTTTTATTTTGTCTTCTGTCATCAAGCATGTAATTTCTTTGACTATGACTTTAGCTAGATCAATCTTTAAATAGCAAAGAAGTTTGTTGAATTGGCTTGTTGGAAGGTGATCACCAATAAAACTTTTAACTGAAAGAGTATTTTTAAAGATATTATATTGCGAAGCACACCATCAATTTAACCCTCGTATACCAGTGTTTTCAAATCCAAATCAATTCAGATGGTCAAACATGACAGGTAATCAATCGCCAAGTAAAGAAAAAAAAAATTTGGTTTAACTATTTGGCTTGTTCTAACAATTGATCCATGATTCACTTTGATTTGAGGGCGGTTGAAGATTCAGAGAAAAATCCAACACTTTGAAATGGTTACACCGTTTTTACACTTTTTTTCATTTAAATATTACCTTTTATTTAATTATTATATTACCAATTAAACTATAAGAACCGTTGACCTCATTTGTTAATTGTCCATTTCGATTTTTAAACATTGATATATACACATACCATTACTTTGACATTTCCTAGGGTACATACGAGGAAACGAATATTCACATAAAATAAACTGTTGCTTGTGGCCCTAATGTAATGTCTTTCGTGAGCAGGCTTGTCGTTTACGAAGTCACTCGGCTGCTTTATGCAGTGGATTTTTTTATTTAACATGAATAAACATAACAATTTTTTTTGACATTATATATAATATATTTAGTTCATTCAGCATTCATTATTGCATTCAAGAAAAATAAATCTCATATTCTTTTTAGGAGAATTATATAGCAAAATAAGTCTCATTCTTTTTAGGAGAATTATATATAAGGACCACTCAAGCAAATTATTCATAAATAATAACAAGTACGGAATGAATTTATTAAAATAGAATGTAAACTTTTTTTTAAAAAAATGAAAATTGTTGTTAGTCCTTGTGTGTAATTAATTTACTTGAGTGATCTTTAAATACGATTTTCCTTATTTTTACCACCCTTCACTTTGTCTGGTAGTATTGTATACAATATGATTATATTAACAAATTATCTTATTAAGTAAACCATCATTTGTTGCGTTAGATGAGTTTCTTCATGGCCCCTTGCTTTCGTTCGTCATGCCATTAATATAATAAGCGCCATTAGTGTACGAGGAATATGTAATATTATTTTTTAGAGGTAAATTTAACCTAAAAAATTTAAAATATTTCATTTTTTAGAAGTAAAAAAACAAACAGGATTAAACGGCTAGCCTAAATTTAATCTAATTTATTGAGGTTCGTTGGTCATGCTTGATTAATAAGCGCCATTAGTGTACGAGGAGGAACCAGTATTTATTTATAGATAAACTGTCGTGGCCCCAGTGTCAGTCGTCAGCAACAATATGTTATTCTTTGACTCGTCGGGCTACATAAGTTTGTTTATTTTAGGTACTTCCCATGTTATTTATATATGGGGGTTCACGTTTAATCCGCACACAAAACATTGTTTTGACATTTGAGCCATTATTTATATATTAGTCAAGCTTAATTCATATGGACTTAGCCCATGTCAAAACTCCTGTTATTTTGAAATTGATTACTTATTCAGACTTAACTCTTATCCATCTGGTTACATTTTTTTTGGTCTGAAATATAAATTATAATATTTAAAAAGTTAAAATAAATAATGTAATAATACTCTTTTTGTTAAAAAATTTAGATTTTTTAATATTTTAAAGTATAATCATTATGTTTTTTTCCAAAAAGTACTCCTAAAAATAAATTACTTTATATTTATTTTAGAGTAAAATATCCTATTAAATAGGGATAAATATAAAAAAATTGTGCTAGTTTGAAGACATGTAATTACTTTATTAAATGGTGAAATTTAGTTAAAAATGTTAAATATTTTTTAACGGAAAGAATAATTCTAAAAAAACAAAATAGTCCAAAATTTAAATTTAATATAAAAATTTAAATATTTTATTTTTTAGAGGTAAAAATAAAATAAGTTTAAAAAATAGCTCTAATTAATCTAAATTTATTTTTTATGGTTTTTTTGGGAAAAAAGGAAATATTATTAATAAAATAAAATGTAAGGTATTTTCAACCAAATTTCACTCTCAATAAGTAGTTACCTATTTTCAAATAATTTTATCTTTTTATTTTTACTCCTATTAATACCCTTATAATAAATATAAATTCATTATTAATACGAACACATTTAAAAAAATAAAAATAATTACACCTCAATAGACTAAAAATGCTTAATATTTTCAACATCTAACTTCTCAAAAAATATCTTATATTTTTAAGCAAAAATAGTAAATTAAATGAAAGATATGTAGTGCCACATTCTTCTCTATTAAGTCTAGGTCATAAAGTTTATTTTTTATGGTTAAAATGGGACGGGTTTAAAAGCCCTTTTATATAAAGATATTTCAATCTTTAAAGCAAAGCACTAAAAAAATAGTTTTAAATGGGTAGGTGATAGGCCCAACCAATATTCAGACTCTTTCACATGATGGATTTTATTGTTGTCTGGGATGTCACACAAGTCCAATCTAAATCAACTTGTATATGACGGAGGTTCTTTTATTTTTGTCTTCTGTCATCAAGCACGTAATTTTTTGACTGTGCCTTTAGTTAGATCAGTTTTAAATAACCAAGAAGTTGTTGAATTGGCTGTTTGTTAGAAGGTGATCACCAAAAAAACTTTTAACTAAAAGAGTACTTATTAAGATATTATATTGCGAAGCACACCATCAGTTTAATTCTCATATAAACCGGTGTTTTTAGATCCAAATCAGTCCAGATGGTCAAACATGCCAGGTAATCAATCGCCAAGTAAAGAAAAAAAAATCTAGTTTAACCATTTGGTTTGTTCTAACAATTGATTCAAATTGACTCACTTTAATTTGATCGGCTCTGAAGAAGATTCAGGGAAAAACTGACTTTAGAATGTTTGGACAGTTTTTACACTTTTTTAATTTAAATATTATTTTTATTTAATTATTATATTGTCAATTAAACTATAAGAACTGTAATGTGTTGACTTTTTGTTAATTGTCTATTCGGATTTTTAAAACGTCGACATGTACAAATATCATTACTTTGACATTTCCTAGGGTACATAAGAGGGAAACGAATAAATTCACATTAAAATAAACTGTTGCTTGTGGCCCTAATATAAGTTGCAAAATCAAAGGCAGGGTTCAACATTGAGGGCAAAATTTAAAATTAATTATTTTCTATATCAATTTTAGTTATAATTGATATAAAATTGCTTTTTACATTGGTTCCTTAAGGAATGAAAGTAAAAAAATCTTTTAATTCTGCATCATTTTCCTTCTCTCGCACAGGTGTCATTTTTTATAATTTCTCACTTAAAAATGTGATTTTCTCCTCAATTTTCATAATTTCCTTTGGCCGAAAGGACAAATCTTTAATGATGTTGATCATTCTCATTTTGTCTCATCTCTTCTCAAAATCCTATCTTCTATCTCTCTAAAAAATCTCCCTCCCACTTCTTCATTTTCTCCATTTTCAAATGTTCTTGTATTAGTTTCTTCAACTAGTTACTCATGGATTTGGTGGAAGCATTGATTCCGAGCACTTTTTTAGGTTCAAATTAGTAAAGGAAGCTTGTTCAATCTTATTCATATCTTTTAATATATATCTTCTTTAAGTTAGGTTTTGTAAAATTTATGGTTAGGGTTTTCATTTTTGGTATTACCCAACCATTGGTTCTGAATTTTATGGTGATTATGAGGT